TTTTTCAATTGTTTTAATTATGTTTTATGTATTGTTTTATATTTTTTCAGTGCTCTGTTTCTTGTGAGAGAAGGGATTCACGAAGAAAAAAATTTCTAGGGTCCCAATATTCGTTCCTGTGTATAAGTACATGATTCCTTACTTTTTTTATTTATAATGTATTTGTAAAGTAATAGGATTACGAAATATTTTTTAATAAAAGCATAACCTAAATAATATCTATATCGCTACTTATGATCGTTTTTAGAGTTCCGTACCTCAAAAAGATCGTCACTTTGTCCTTCGTCTGTCTGTCTGCTCTGTACTATCTACTCATAGAAGCGAGATGTCTTATAGCAAAAGTAAAAGGGAAATATACGAAAACAGTAAATTTGTAGTTTTATCACAAAAAAATAAGTTTAGAATTCTTTTTGGGTTTCCGTTCAAACAACCAATACCTTACCCTAGGCTCTTTCTTACTGTACAAGACAAAGTTAAAAATCTGAGGACGACACCTTAGACGTCGAAAAGCATAATGGGTTTCTAAACGTTTTTTGGGTTTTATTTTAGTGTTTATTCAAAATGTGGCCAGATTATTTGATTAATTTTCCCCAATAATCATACTGTCTAGAATAAGTTAACTGTCATTTTTAAATTTGACACAGCGTTTTATGAAATCTTACAAACGACGCGGTAAACGCCACCTGTAGTAGAATGCTAAATTTGTTGAAATTCAATATATTCAACAAGTTACGTTTACATAGATGGATATCTACTTGCTGAACTCAAGATAGCAGGTAGAATTGGTCTCTGTTATGCGACGTGCTGATGGGATCCAACAAGATCGAAATCGCGATCTGCATCTGGCAGTTCCGATATAATATTGACCACTACAAACTTCTATGTTCCACTAATAATAAATAATTTAATAAGTATAATAAAAAAACTATCTAATAAAAATTGGTAATTAAGATTGAATAGAGATAGGTCGTTTGTTCTAATTTGTATTACTTATTGATTACTGTACTAAATTACGTATTATTTCAATACAGTTCTTGTCATGGGAGGGAGCGGGGGTTCAATCCTCAACTCATGCGTGGTTACGCCACTGAAAGATGCACTTACACCATAGAAGAATTCGGTCGTGCTTTAAGTCTCTTTATGCAACAACGAAGACCGTTTACAATAGATACCTACCCAGGTATACATCTGTCGGAGGTCAAGTATTTTTATTACCTCCGCTAAAGGCTTTCCGAAGAAATCCTACCAAGTCATTCGACTGTTATTAATTTAAACTCATTTAGTATCATAAATTAAACCACGTAAATAAATTATAAGCCGAAAAAGGCATTTTTCTCTTACCATGTATCCTCCTTATCAATAAGGATTAGACTATAATAGATACAATGCTAAATAACACCCAACTTACTTCGCAGTATTTGTAACCGTTTTAACAGTAGGCATCGATTAACTTAAGACAAACACTTTTTTAAGTTATCTACGTACATCCCTTGACCCTAATTCATATCATGATTACCGATTAGGTAATGAACTGAAGAGTACACTTAATTTTTGTGATAGGCTCAACTAATAGTTCATGATGTATTTTTGGAAATGCTTTGTTGTATAAATAGAAATAGCAACCTATTCTTGTCATCATCATCATAAGGTCGTCAGTCCTAAGACTTGTTCGACACATACCTCCACACTTTCCTATCTTGAGCTAATTTCCGCATTTCCCTAAAACTAGAACAACCCACATCCCTAACTATTTGCGAACAGTAATCTAATCTAGGTCTACCTCTACCCCTCGTAACTCCCGTTTCTGCCTCTAATATAAATAATAATAAAAGGGTTGGACATTTTTCGGAAACTCTTAATATCTTAAATTTCTAGCAGATAGATAGATAGGTACCTACATACCTTCGAACACACTTATCTATATATGTATGTACATGTTTTATGTATAACTACCACAGCTGATTCAAGAAGAACGTGTTCTTGTCCAGATACCTATGCAGGGTAACGAGCACAAAATTATACAACGGAGTACCAATATTTGATTGATTTCTTTTTATTCATTGACTGTACCTAATTGCAATGTCTGTACAAACCCTACGTTAGTACTTGGCAGCGATATGAACATGTGCTTACTAAAGATACACCTGCAAACTTATATGTTTTTTTAAATAAAAATAATACGTATCATAAATGTTTTGATAATAAAAGATCAATTATCTTTTCATTAAGTATCCGGCTGATGTTATTTAATTAATATTAGACAACACAATTTATGCAGTTGCTACATTTGTTTTGGTAAACTTCATTTTATATTCAAAACAGGTATGTAAGTACACAATTTAAACATCGTTTAAAAGTTGAGATTTTAAAAAATTAAATTACCTTGTGGCTTATCCAAGGGTTGCACACTCACATTTCGCATTTCAAAAAATGCCTTCACTTTCTCACAACTTTGATCTAAATCCTTATTATTTCGTTTAGAGCGCGTTTTTTCCACATTTCTGGTTGACACTGTACCGAAACACACGAGAACGAACGCAAAAACTAAAAAAACACACCGAGAATGCATGACTATTTTGAATAGTTCGCGGTACAAGGCAGACGACGCAATGAGTTTTCAATCAAGCCAAGCGCTTTACGGCCGTACGTTACCTACCGCCACTCGAAGCACACTGAACTGAAAAATGCCGAAAATCCTGTTTGCTGTTTCAGTTCGGCTGTGAACAGATGGGACTGCTTGACGACGGCCTGCGTGCGCAAAACCAACGTTACTTGGTTACTTCTAAAAACAGTTCATTCAACAATATTCGTTTAAATAACCGTCTACTCCTTAAATTAGGCAACATTTCTTACATACGGAACGATTACAACAAATTGCAATTATAAATCACAATTTGATTGGAAGATTTCGAAGTTAAAGTAAAACATAAGAAAACATTAATTGGCTGCTTAGTTACTCAAACTACCTAACTTTGAATAACATTTAGGTAAACTTAAGTGATGATTCTTTGTAAATGACTCTTTTACTCTACCTTTAGGAAACCATTTTATTTTTTTCAATTGTTAAATATTTCAAATCCGTTTCGTTTGCTTTCATCACTATGATTCGTGAATATGCATCTTTCAAGTTAGTTTGTGTGTGACAAAAATTACCTACATCTCCCTAGTAAGAAGGAAGACCAGATTTTTTAGATCTAAAGAAGAAAAAGGAGGATTTTGATTCAATTGAATAATCCAGAGCGTTTCATCGGCCAAGTTTCTACCGATCGCGAGCAACCGCAACAAACCTATATCTTTGGAAAGCTTTCCAAGAAAGAAGAAAGAATCTGACCTCAATGAAGAGTTTAATAAAATTTTCTGTTTCTATGGATCGTAAATAACCCCAGCATGTCGTATATCATTGAAAAACTAGATGAAAGAAGAACGAATTCGATGACATTAACGGATTTCATCAAATTTTCTGGAACTAAAAGAAGATAGAAAGGAGAAACTTAAAAGCTGAAATTGACATTCTATGGGAATATCTCGTGGTCCATCTATCTGAAGCAGTTTAGAGCAGCGAGAGAGGCAAACGCATGGACCAATGGGAGAGGAAAATGCTTTATGCTCCTTGATAACCCTCTGTCCGGGTACGTCTACTATGATCTCCAGGATTTCCACCGTTATCCAGTCGGGACCCGGGTGCCTTTCCCTTTTTGAACTTTGTTAGCGTCGACTTCACCTCGCCAACGTGTATTGGTGTGTCCGCCTCATTTTAGAGTTCCTTCCGCCATCACTTACGTGTGTGCTCCGGAAAGAGACGCTTGGCTTCCTGTATTTGTTGTTCCGTATTCATGACTACCCTATGTGTGGTTTGCAGATTCTTAACAGCCCACTGATAAGCGTCTCCCCAAGGATTCAGCTCCAGACAGTCTAGGAATACTTTCCAATTGCTCCATTTAGCTTGTCTAATCGTCCACTTCAGGATTTTCTTCTGTGTCTCCGCTCCTAGGACGCTGGACTCTTCTTCACAGAGAGCTACATTTCGCTGTTTGAGCTGCGATGTCAGCATTCCACCAAAATTTAGACTTTCCTTCCCACCGCCTATTTGATGGGGAAGGGAACGTCTGACGACATGCTTCTTTCATAATGCGGGGTAGAACCGTGAGATCGCCCTGACTACTCTCTACTCAAACCTGTTTCTGAAGCGCTAGTCTAAACTGTTTCAGGAGCTTATGCGTCGTTCTATATACCGTCCTGTCTTTCCTTACTGTTGACTCCTTACGGTGCTTCACGTCACCAGTGATTGTCACGCAGATTTTGGTGGTGGTTGCTGTGTCAATGTCCAAGACTTGCCATTCCGTAAGCCAATTAGTCCAGAGCCTCACTGTCCAGCTGATGTCCACAATAAAGAACCTCGGGTCCCAGCAAAAGGTAGGTCGGATTCCCCTGTATGAAGAAATATGCCGTCCACATCAAGAATGAGGTCTTCTATCAAAGCTCCTTTTATGTCGGTGGAGGGTGAACCCTATAGAACCCAGTGCCTACTGAAGTTCCGATCCACCACCACCGCTCCCTTCGTGGATTGAATCGTCCTTTCCAGCCTGCTTAAGAAGAGCTTAAAAAGTCTTCAAGCGAACTGTTGGGTGAAAAGTGGAAGACAACGACTCTCAATTGTTAGCTGACTACGTCACGCCAAAAGCGATCCTCCGCCGCCCCGTGGTGGCTCCGAGTTGTAATTGGGAGGTTCCGTAATTGGGAAAATCGTCACATCCATGTTTTCATCGTATGTCTAACCTCTCTTCTATAAGAATCTTTTGGTTGACTCAGAGACTAAAAGCACATCACAATCCCTTTCTGTGGCAACTTGTTCCAATATCTCCATTGCCTCTTACCTCTTGTTGACGATTAATTGCAGTATTCTTACCGGAATGGCTAACTTCACTTCCTTGTACTTTCTCACGGGACCCCTTGATTTTATTCACCACATGCCTATAGGTCTGGCAGCGCCAGAGCAACAGTTACAGCATTTCCTCGTTGAAGAACAGTCATGCGCCTCGTGATCTAACCCTCCACGATTCAGGTACTTTCTCTTTTTTGGTTCTTTAGCAGTACACACGCCCGCCCAAACTCCTAACATCTGTAACAGGAACCTGCTCCTGGTCATCTCTCAGTCCTACGACCGACCAAAGCTCACCCTTTTCGACCTTCAGGGTTTTACTCCAATACTTGGTCGATCTCTGCAGGGGTTATTGTACATCCTGATGTGAATTGTGATCTTGGGGATCTCATCATGTATATTTTTTTGGGAATTTTTCGAGATCTTGCCCTAGGCGAGTTGCCTTCTCTACGGCTGATGAGCCTCGCCTGCCTAGGTTGGTCGCCTATCCCCAAGCTGACACCAACATCCAGTTTTGTTCCATGCTCAAAAAAAAACTGGTGTCCGCCATATCTGGGGAGCATTCTCCTAACCGCCACCTGGAGACGCGCCCGATAGGGAACTGGAAATCCCCTTCGACTATTCAAGACCTAGAAAGGACAGATTGCACCTTGGCTACGGTGACTACAGCAATACGAGTTCGACATCAAGCATCTCCCAGCGAACAATAAAAGTTATACAGAAAACTTCATAAAATAATAGTCCGCTATGAATTCAAGGTCACCAATTTGACTTGGAAAATATTGATTTATTCTGCAATAACTATATTTTACTATTCATTTTATTGTTATTTTAGCCATGTAAAGGTTTAATAGATTTTTAGTGTGAAGATGTTGACCTTGAATTCATATGGATCGCAGTGCTCTTTACTGTTTTATTAAATTTTCACTAGTATAGGATAGAAAACGCTTTCTATGCTATAAATTAATTTGACACATTTAAAATCCCTTAATTTACTTTACAATAAAATGAAAAATAGAACGTGCATTATTAACATGCGAAAACAGATTAAAAAAATCAATATTTTTCAAGTCAATTTGGTAACTTTGAATTTACAGTGATCGCAGCTCTATTATTTTATTAAATTTTTGGAACAAATTTTATACATATTGACTCCTTATCTATAGTCTGTATAAGTCAAATACAATAGATATCAATTACAAAATGTAAGCAACTCCTTGTCTACGCGCACTGCCTTACTGCGCAGCAAACCACCTAGTAGTCTGGCACACACAAAAACACAAATCACAAATTGCTGATGCTCGTGCCATGCATTAAAGTTCCTTATGTGGCTGCTATCTTTGGTCTTCTTGAATTGAATTAATGCATTTCATTGTTAAATATACACCTCAGGATATTATCCATAGATAAATATTCAACGTTTACGTATACGGTTAATGAGCCACATTCACAAATTAAATGTTTCTCATTAAATTATCTATTATCAAATCTCCCGCGCATTTACTTGAAGAGGTTAAGTTTCGAAGTGTTTGATTTTTTTGTCGGCTTATTTTTTAACTGAATTCATTTAATCTTTTTTTATATTCGACTTAATAATTCTCCCATATTGTAATAAAATAGTAATTTAAAATATACAAAATAAGTAACGTTTGTGGGTTTTTTGCGTTAATGCTAAAATGGCTCGCAGGAATTACGATGCAGACAGAGGTATTTGCCTAT